CAGCTCTGGTATGTTACATCAAAACCAAACAAAAAATAATATTTGGTTAATTGACACAGGTGCAACCGACCATATGACAAACAAACCGAAAAATTTAACAAGATCATATTCTCAAAACAAAGTGTCATCCAAACCGCGAATGAGAGAACTAGAAAAAGTGACACGTGCAGGGTCTGTAAGGGTATCAAACTCCATGGACCTTGATTTTGTCCTTGTAGTTCCATCCTTATCGACTAACTTAATATCAGTTAGTCAAATTACGGAAGCACTTAATTGTTATGTAATTTTCTGGCCAAATGATTGTGTGTTTCAGGATATGGCAACACATCAGATTCTTGGTTATGGTACTAGAAGGGGGCGATTGTACTATCTTGAAGACAATCCTCAAAGCAAGGCGTTTCATACCGGAATAAGGGAAGCAAATAAATCGGTAGCAATGTTATGGCACCGACGTGTAGGACACTTGTCGTTTAGTTATCTCAAGAAACTCAAACCAAATTTGTTTTTAAATTCTGTTGAGAATGAATTCAAGTGTGGCATTTGTGAATTGGCAAAAAATACAAAGTTTCTTATGTCCCTAGCAATAATAAAGCTACTATACCGTTTATGAAAATTCATTCAGACGTATGGGGACCTGCCCCAATCCCTACGTCTAGTGGTGCACGATATTTTGTAACTTTTATTGACGAATGTACTAGAATGATTTGGGTATATCTATTAAAAAACAAAGGAGAAGTATTGTTTGCATTTAAAGAGTTATGCCAAATTATCAAAACCGAATATAGGAAGGAAATCCAAATATGACAGTCGGACAACGGGGGAGAATATATCAGTCATGATATGACTAAGTTTTGTCAAGAAAACTTGATCCGCCATCAAACTTCTTGTGCTAGAACTCCCCAGCAAAATGGGCTAGCAGAAAGAAGAAATCGAAAGATACTAGAAATTGTCCGGGCCTCCTTATTTGATATGAATGTCCCGAGAAAGTTTTGGGGAGAAGCAGTGCGATCGGCTGCATACCTTATGAACAGGACCCCATCCCGTGTTCTTGAATAAATACTCCAATCCAAGGTTACATGAATTGCTGGAAAAAACCATTCAACATTGGACTTGAACCAAGGATTTTTGGTTGTACTACCTATGTTCATATGGACATAGGAAAACTCGAACCAAGGGTTGTTCGATGTTTGTTTATAGGGTATGCAGATAACAAAAAAGGCTATAGGTGTTATGATCCAGTCGCAAATAAGGTGCATGTGACCCGCGACGTGTCGTTTCATGAAACGGTAAAATTCTTTGACAGTAGGTGTTCACTTCAGGGGGAGAGAACCGAAGAAGCAAACACACATGACATGTCACTAGAGCTTGGTGATGACACATAGTTCTTTAACCTTGAAGAAACTACAAATATATATGACCACCATGAAACTCCAGTTGAAGATAGTACAATCCCCCCCGCGACACAACCTGACCATGAAACTCCGGTTGAAGATAGTATAATCCTCGCCACACAACCTGAACCGAACAGTAACACTGAGGATACCGAAGAATCAAATGTAACTAATAATCAAGAAAATATGCCTGGTGATGTTTTGCAGGAAACAACAGTGAATCTAATTCAAGATATCCGATAAGAAGCACGCATGGAATCCCAAAGAAACAATACCAACCAGATTTGAATGCAAAGGCGAAGTACCCAATCGGAAATTACGTGTCGCATCATCGGCTGGCAAGCTCACATGTAGCAGTAGTGAACAACTTATCCTCCATTTCCATACCACACGACGTACAAGAAGCTTTGAAGGAAGAGAAATAGAAGAAAGCCATGAATGAAGAGATGGAGGCGTTGCAGAAAAAAATCAAACGTGGGAACTTGTAACCTTACCTCATGGAAGAAATTGGTGGGGTGTAGATGGATATATACAGTAAAACTCGACTCGAATGGAAACATTGATCGGTACAAGGCAAGACTTGTGGCTAAGGGATACACACAGAAATACAGAATTGATTATGGAGACACATTTGCACCAGTGGCGAAAATTAATACCATTCGTATACTAATCTCCATGGCAGCAAACGAAGACTGGCCCCTAAAGCAATTTGATGTAAAAAATGCATTCTAAATGGATGCTTAGAGGAGACGTGTACATGGAACCACCACCTGGCATCAAGTGTAGAGGGAAAGTATGCAAACTGAACAAGGCATTGTACGGGCTGAAACAATCTCCTCGGGCATGGTTTGGGCGATTCTCTACATTCAGAAGAAAATCGGGTATAAACAAAGCGATGCCACCACACGCTGTTTGTAAAAAAACGCTGATGGGAGAGTAACTGCCCTCATCGTGTATGTTGATGATATGGTGGTGACAGGAAATGATTCTGAAGAAATGAAGAAACTTCAAGCACTACTTGCCACAAAGTTTGAATTAAAAGATCTAGGATATCTAAAGTACTTCTTAGGTATTGAAGTTGCAAGATCACAAGCCGGAATTACTATGTGTCAGCGAAAATATATACTAGATTTGTTAACTGAAACAGGAATGCTTGATTGCAAACCTGTAGATACTCCAATCGAAGTGAATCATAGACTGGCTATAGTTCCAAATCAAGTACCACAAATAAGGAAAGGTATCAAAAGTTGGTCGGGAAACTCATATACTTGTCACACACAAGACCAGACATTGCCTATGCAGTGAGTGTAGTTAGTCGGTTCATGCATGCCCAAGTGAAGAACATATGAAGGTTGTGTACCGAATATTGAAGTACCTCAAAGCAACTCCTGGTAAAGGATTGTTTTTAAAAAAAAAATCAAGATCACACAGTCATGGGATATACAGACGCAGACTGGGCAGGTGACCGAATGGACGGAAAATCCACCTCAGGTTATTTCACTTATGTTGGAGGTAATCTGGTAACTTTGAGGAGTAAAAAGCAAAAGGTAGTATCAAGATCCAGCGCTGAGGCAGAGTATCGAGGGAATGGTGCACGGAGTATGTGAATTATTATGGATAAAGCGGATTTTACGTGATCTAGGGATATCTCTATTATCTCCTATGCAGCTTCACTGTGATAATGAGTCGGCTGTGAAGATAGCAAACAATCCTGTTCAACATGATAGAACAAAACATGTAGAGATTGATAGGCATTTCATAAAAGATCATCTCGAAAGAAAGAATATTGAACTCCCACATATAAGCTCTGAAGATCAACTTGCAGACATGTTAACGAAAGCTGTGTGTGGGAGAGTGTTTGAGTGCTCTCTTAACAAGCTGGGAATGATAGATATACATTCTCCATCTTGAGGGGGAGTGTTGACGAGAGCAAATTATAAAATATAATTGTTGTAGATAATATCAAGTTCCTTTAGAATAGCCTGTACCCTTGGTGAGTTTGTTACTCTCTTTCATGTATAAATGTAATGCACCTGTGATTAATATGATATAGAAAAAAACGGGAGAGTCTTTCCCAGAAATCTCAACTCTTAATTTCTATAGGTTTCTCTAAACCTCTGTTTTATATGACTTCTTCCCTAGTTCATCCTTGCAGACCCAAAAGGGTGACATTCAACAACTCGGTTACGACAAAGCTCTAAAAAAGTCAACATGCATGGTTTTTTTTTCTTATATATATAAGGCTGCTAGATAATTATATCTTTCTTCCTATTTATACACAATCATTTAGCCTTTGCAACTCTTAGGTATCAAGGGATTAATATAGTGTTCTTTTACAAGTAGTTTTTTTCTTTAGATTTTCAATTTAAATCCGGTATTCATCAAAAGTATTATTTACGTTTTGTTTATAACAACTCTCAACAGAATAATGAATGATTTAAACAAAGTATCTTTTTAGTAGTGAGTCAACTTTTATTAAATCAAACTAGCATGAAAAAGAAATATATCAAATCAAGTTTGGATTGTTAATTCATTCCGACCTAGAAACATTGAGTTCACTATATCTACTTAGGGGTGTTCGTTTGAATGGATCGGTTCGATCCGATCCAATCAAGTGAATCCAAATGGATTTCGGTTTTAAAAACATGGATCCGAACAATCCAAACTAAATTCAAATCCGATCCGAACCAACCACAATTACAATTCGGCTGGATCGGTTTTTTACAATTCGGTTTTCAAGAGGTGTATCATTAAAACTTATAAACACCTGAATGTTAGACAAATTTAAACAAAAATAATTGTTTAGTTGTGAATTAATATCTATGAACAACCGTTAAGAAAAATGTGTTATCATTTATATTCATAGATAAAACATTTGAGAAGTACATATTTAGGTTTTTTATTGGGTAATGCATTCAAATCTATTTTTAAAAAAAAACAATTTACACTTAAAAAATAATTAAAAGAAGTATATTAAAAACAAACAATGTATATAAATAAACAAATGATAAATAGTTATTCGGTTTTTTGGACTATTCGGTTTTTATTTTATAAACCAAAACCAATCCGAAATCCAAAATAATAACTCGGTTTTGCTAAAAACCAATCCAAAAATCCAATTATTCAAACCAAATAGTCCAATCCAAATTGTCCAATTAGACAATTCGGTTTTATCCGAACAACAGCCTATATCTACTAGTCAACAAAGAAAATGCAATAGCAACGATCGAGTCAAAGATAGAATCCTTCTTCATTTGGGTTTTAAAAAATTGGGCATAAATTCAATGCTCATATGATCCAAATTTAACACGTAGCCGTCTATTCCATCTCAATTTGGCACCACGATATTAACTTTTATATGAACATAAGAACTCACCTACTTTCTCCAAGTTTATTTTTTGAAAAGAACGAATAAATTATAATTTATGTTAAACTATTCGGATTTTAATAAGCTTTTATCATGTTTAATTTTTATTTTTGTCGATAGTATTTCATTAGTTATAGTGAAGATAATCTCGAGTAAAATTACAATCATCTATATGTGTTTACATACAAATAAAAATTCAGTTCAGTCATACAAACACATCATGATGAAATATAACGATTGATTCCATTCCATTCTATTCCCTTGTTTATTCCATTCCAATATCTATAATCTATTCCATTCCCATGAAAATAGTTCCTAGGAAGAGCCATACAAGTCGCGTCCACAACGGTGACATGATTCCGAAGCTTTTGGAGTAGTTTCCATCGGCTTCTCCTTCACCAGTTTCGGAAGATCACATTCCAATACATCATGAAACGCCTTAGCACCTTCCCGAATCTCATCCAAACTATTTAATTTTTAAATTTAAAAATTTGTAACAATGGAAAATGCTAATTCTAATTCTTGTATTATGTAATTGTAATTTGTACGTACCTTATTGAAAGGGGAGGAGTTAAGCGGATAGTGGCATTATGAGTAGGTTTTGCGAGAATTCCTCTTTCCTTCAATTTAATACATAGATCGTATGCATTTGCAGGATATAAAAGACTTGCTAATAAGCTCAACTGCATTGAATAATCCTTTTCCACGCACTTCCATCACAACATCAGGAAATTGCTGCTGACTTTTTCTTAATAATCCTCTCAGTTCCTCTCCCATTCAGCAGATCTATTATACCATTGTTTTTACTTTTAAGTATATATAATAAACAAACAAAACTATACTTTTTTTAATCCCATCTTTTAATGATGTAAAGATGATGGTTGTTTTATTTACCTTTGGGCAAGTTTTTCATCTTGTATCACCTGCAATGATGCAATGGCAACAGCACTGGCTAATGGGTTTCCTCCAAACGTGCTAATAAACATGTGAAAGTGTTATCAAATTATATTATATAAGATGATGTCTGAATGATATAAGTAAGAAGTGGATAATACCTTCCATGTTCACCTGGTTGTATGCAAAGCATGACATCTTTGTCTGCAAGAACTGCACACTAACTGGTATCACTCACCACCTAATGCTTTCCCTAGTATCTGAAAAATATCATAATTTATAAGCTTCTTTTTTTTTTTTTAATTTATTCATTTTGGAGAATAAAATATAAAAGAACTTACAAAAACATCAGGCCTCACACTTCCCAATCACATGCCAGCATTCTTCCAGATCTTCCTAACCCACTTTGTATCTCGTCTGCAATCATTAAGACGTTGTGCTTTGAACAAAGTTCTCTCACACTTTTAAGATAACCATCTGGAGGAATTATAACCTATAAAGATGCAATTTAGAAATTCAAAAACATTAAAAAAAAAAAAAAAAAAAAAAAAAAAAAAAAAAAAAAAAGATAGAAAAGAACGAAAAAATGAAGATTACATACCCCAGCCTCTCCTTGTATGGGCTCAAATAAAAAACCAGCTATATATTCTCCTTTTTCTGCATATATTAAGTGAAAGAAATTGAGCATAAGTGTCTTGTTGACAAGGTATAAAAGCAAGGAATATTAATTGGAATTTCAAAAAACCTTCAAAAAGTTTCTTAAGGGCAGCTTCATCTCCAAAGTCAACTTTAAGTTGACCAGGTAACAATGGCCAAAATCCACTAGTGGCATCATTATCACAACTCATAGAAATAGCAGCCATTGTACGACCATGGAAGCAACCACAACATGAGACAATGATACCCTGCACATCAAATCAAACAGAGAAATTGAGGGATTTTACTGCTTAAAGACTTATTATTAATAAAGTTAGTTACCTGATCTTTGGGGATTCTTTTTTTTTCATAACCCCATTTTCTTGCAAGCTTTTATAGCGGTTTCTACTCCTTCAGCACCAGTGTTCATTGGAAGAACCATGTCATATCCAAACATTTGGTTAAATACTCTGCAAAGACTGGAAATTTGTCATTGTAGAAGGCTCTAGAACTGAGAGTTAGGTTTTGTGCCTGTTCCATTAATGCTTTCATGATCTTTGGATGACAATGTCCCTGTACCAAAAAACCAGTTATCCCCTTTCATCAACAAATTTTGTCAATAGATAACTAACCGCTTAAACCCCGTGTGTATCTCACCTGATTAACTGCAGAGTAAGCTGCAAGAAAGTCGAGATATTTTTTGCCTTCTGGATCCCAAATAGCCGACCCTTTCCATGAGAAAATACAACAGGGACAGGATGATAACTGAGAAAGAACCATTCAAAAGCTCAAATTGTGGTTACAGATGTAAGCATGTAGAACCGAATAACATGATGATGATGATATGATGATGATGATGATGATGATGATGATGAGTTGTACTATAATGCAGTTCATCAACTATTTTCATTGTTCTTATAATTTTGGAAATCCTTCTTTCGGACATACATCACATAGGCAATCACATACACTAAAAACTATTCTCCTAGTGTTCCTAATTCATATCTGCAGTTGAATGACATCAAAATTCTCTAGTTTTTGTGTCTTACTAAACTTAATTTCTGCAAATTTGGGGAAGATAAATCATAGTTATGGAATGAAGGGAGCATAATTCCTATCAGTAAGAATGTAACACAGCAACATAGCAGAATCAAGAAACCCCACGAATCGATTAAAAAAAAACAATCGTAGCCCATGTGCACACAAAACACACGCATGTGTGTATGTGTGGAGAGAGAGAGAGAGAGAGAGAGAGAGAGAGAGAGAGAGAGAGAGAGAGAGAGAGAGAGAGGGCATACTTGTGTGCGCTGTATCGTGTTCTAAAATCGATAAGGTGGCGAGAAGAGGCGGCAGGAGAGGCGATGCCTTCGGTAGCAGTCCCAAAGCACCGAACGGTTCCCCTGCTCTTGATTCTGTTGAATACAAGCTGTAGCGATCTGGTGGTCGCCATATGCAACGATTTCTTGATATTACAGAATCAAGTAGTGATTTATCGTATTACTTGGATTAAACTTTACTTAGCACTCGAAACCGATGATAAATCTCACCCAAATACATCAATAATTTTCAGAATTGGATGATAAAACTCGCACCTCAGTTTATATCTGATCGTTGATGAAAATGATCACACTTTCCCAGATGACGATGATAGAGTGTCTGTATGAAACACTATCCGACCTCGCAAGAAGTGAAAAAAATTGTAACCACTTTCTCGAGTAGTGATTTATCGTTTTTGTCCGCAAAGCATTTTAATTTTCATGTGATCAACCATTAAAATCGTGACCTTTAAACGTTCCTTGATATTTTTAATTTCGACAACCAACTACTCCAAATTTAAAAGGTCTAAATGGTTTACTTTTACATCAGGGAAAATCACAAAAATGCAAGTTGAAATCATTTAAAAACTGATCATCATTTTAATATATATATATATATTATATATATATATATATAATATACTATATATATATATATATATATTGTCAAATAAAGGCCAAGTTTGCAATAGACCTCGAATCCGACAATGTTTTTCTATCGTCCATCATAAAAGAAAAAAAAAATCAGATGTTACGAATTACACTAAAGACTGCAAAA